CGGCTCTTGACAGCGACTGAAGTGAGCCGTGTAAAAGGCCCACAATTCCTTCTTAATCACCGGCTACCGTACCATAAAAAGGGTCGATCAGACTGTGCCTCGAGAGTTTACGATATCTTCACGACGAGACGGTCAACATATACTCTCACCTTGTGCCAGCCGGAATCGCCGTCATCAGCAACGGCGTCTACTTCCGCAATCGCTACCCAACTGCCTCCTGGGAAGACCAGTTGGCATTCCACGTATATTTGTGCACTTCCATTCTGTGCTTCGGAATATCTTCCATCTATCACACCCTCCTCTGTCATTCGGAGGATTAAGTCAACCTCTGGGCCTTACTAGATTATGTGGCCATTATTTTCCAGACCCTCGGGTCATTCATTTCGGGAATATATGTTAGCTTTTACTGTGAGCCGGGCCTGCAGAAGCTCTATTGGACAATAGTATCTTCCCCTCCTCTCCTATTTTCCAGCGCGCTCTTTTATGGCCTATTGAATTCTTTCTCGTCGTAGATTTGCGTATTGGGGCTCCTGACAGCCACTGTAGTGGTGAGGCCCCGGTTCCAGAGCTCTAAATGGAGAAAATTGCGGCTCTCCACTTTTGTTGCAACCAGCCTCTCAGCACTCGCGCCCATGATCCACGCCGCCATCATCTTCCCATACGCCCAGTGGAACCAGCAGGTGGGTCTGGGCTACTACCTCCTCGAGGGTATGGTAATAATTATCGGGACAATCTTCTATGCCGTGAGTAACACTGGCACACCCTTTTCAAACCAAGCACCAGACCAATCAACAAACTAGACCCAATTCCCGGAGTCGTGGATACCCGAGAGATTCGATATCTGGGGAGCATCACACCAGATTTTTCACATTTTCGTCGCCCTCAGTGCTGTCATCCTTGTCTGGACGATTCTCAATGTGTTTGACTATGTCCGTGAGAATCCGCGTTGTCTAGTTTGGTAACTTATCTTCTCTTCACTGAGAGACAGTCACCATACTGGGATGCTGCATCTTTCAAAAAATTTGAACTTTCGGTTCTTGGTACCTGTATATAGGATAGAGCTGTTGTAGTCACAAGGCTAGTCCAAGTTGTTACCAGTTGCATAAACTTCATGATAAGCGCAAGTCCTGCTTTATCCGCGATCAGATCCACGAATTTCGCATGTTGTTGCAGTAGATTATTAGCCAGAGGTGCGTTTAGCAGTAGTATCTATGTGAAAGATGCTAAAAGGCTGGCAATTTCAAGTTTCTCCTTCGTCCTGAAGAACTTCTTTGCAGCACAAATTGCACCGCCGCAGTATTGACTAGCCCTCCAAACTACTTCAAATTCGCCTCGACCAATCTCCTCAAAGATTTTGTAGCCATTATGCAATCCCGCCCGCTGGGACGGTGTTCAGGTGCTTGCCGCAGAGGACAAGATAAGCTGTCTAAGTCCGGGTACGGTAGTTTGTACTTTTGGGCAAATGCTTGCTAGTTAGCTTGGTGCTGTAGTTTTCGTGCATCACTCAGAATAGAATAGTAGAGTACAGTTATTTTGGTCGTTTTTGCGGGTTCTGGGGCCCAGTCCACGCCGCCCCCTGGTGAAGCCCGGAGTCGGTACCCAAAGCGCCCCAGATATGGAGTCCTGCATAGCTAGCTATGCTTGCATTCCTTGGGATTAGGGAAGATTAAACGGAAATTATAGGGCGTCATATTTCTCCATTATCCATCGTCTACACACCTCTGTATGCATTGTATTAAATTCCCTACTCTCAGATTCGGGGGTACAACGAGTTCTCCTTTCTTGATAACATGCAATGATTTCTAATGTCGCGTACATTTCAGGTCTGGCCGAAAGCACCCGCCCCTGGCGTCCACCGACTCGACGGTTCGGCCTCGCGTTCGCCCTCTACAGAACCAAATTCAAGGCATGGGTGTTCAACCGCTCGGTTCCCCACAGCTCTGCCAGCCTCGAAGTTCACAAAGACTCAGGAAAATTCATTCAAATGATCGTGGGCTATGCGATGATGAGCGCCGAAGAACTGGGACTCGATGTCTCCAGGACACATTTGTCATATTTTACATCACAACAGCCAAGGCCGGAGTGAGGGCCGCAGGCTTGACTGAACGCGCAATCTCATCTGTTCTTTTGAAGCGTCGACTTCTGCAGGCGCAGTGAGAAACAGCGCTTGATCTCCGACCAGAGCAAGCGCTCCTCCATCATGCCCAAAAGCTGTGCGTCGTTCTCGGGGAGCTATAATCACAGCTTATCTCTGTAGCCCTTACTTATCTCACCTCGCTCACGCTGAAGGGGAGCGCTGTTAGAGTCTTATCCACAACTGCTCCACTTTGGGCCATTCTATTGCAAACTCAATACTAAGATGAGGTGAAGAAGTCTGGGGGAATGTAATAGTACAACATTGTAGTTTTTGCCCTAAGCCCTAGACTTTACTAAACAAAGCATACAGCGGACTCCGTATACCGTGATCGTTGCGTGGAGGCAAGGCTAGCGGCGTTGGGCGGTTAGCACAAGGCCAAAAAGCAGTAGTAAGAACTACCATTCCGGCCGCCTACTAACCGTCATATCGCTAAATGGAGTATGATCTATTGTTTACCTTCGGACACTAGCCAGGGAGTTCTGATCTTCTGGGATTGAACTGCCCGCAGTCGTGAAGGTATGGTGCTCATGCAAGCCGTCCATTTTATTTACGATCCTGCACATGAGAGATTGCACAAATACCGGCCAAAATCTCGTCATCCGAGAGCATCAAGTCTTATGGGCAAACAGCTGAAGCAGAATCAGAATGGCCCTTTGCAAACCAACATTTGGCATCCTTGATCCAACGACATATCGTCGTCGATGAACAATAAATGACGTCACAAGCACCGAGGTTTTCCTGCCACATTAGTAATAAGGATACTCGGAAAAACAAAGGAAAAAAAATTGTAAACCAGAATCGCATCGCCATGCACGACTCCAGATCAGAAATGTCAGCACCTGCAGCCACAAATGTGGTTGCGGGACCCTGATTGGAGTCTGGCGCCGGTGCACCAAGGCGCTGCTGCATGGCGCTGGAGGTTTGTTGACGCGGTGAGAGCTGTTGCTGAAGCCGTCTGGGCCTGTTGAGCCCTGAGAACCTGAACCGGGGACAAGGATTCGCTGAGGGGAAGCTGTGTGGTTGTATTCTGCGTCCAGGGATGGTGATATGTTTCCTTTTTTCTTTTTTCTTGTTTTTGGTTTTTCTCAGCGAGCTTTTGGCTTTTGATAACTGCATCTTTTTCTCGATTAGCGACTCCTCCGAAAGGGGACGAAGATCAAACAGTCATTCCCATTAACCATAAATAGCCGAAAGTTAGAAGATGGATTACCCGTGGCCCGGCACCTTCTGGCGGTCGAATGGTGTGCTCGATTGATTGCTTTCCTTTTCTTCCTGTATCAGATTAATAATTCGTTGGAAATCACCTTCATCTGGACTTTTCGCCTTGTTCTGTCTGCCTCATATATATACTAGTATCTCTTTTATAACACCGGTCCTGTGGATAAAAGATAAACAAGGTTTACAAAAGAGAGATCTCTTCCTTGGGCCAGCTTAATAGACGAAATTCAGCATCGACTCCTTCTCCGTTCTGTACTGCAACCCTCTTCGCTTCCCCTTCTTCGCTAGCGCCCAAATTGCCGTTAAATACTTGACTTTTTCCCCGCTCATTCCTCTCCTCCTTGCTGTTTAATTCCTTGGTCGATTCGGCGTATAGAAATCGGGTAAAGCGAGTATGACGAGTGACACCGATTCAGGCAGCCCTTCCGAGCTAAATGGAACCTCCATTGAAACCCCTGCGAGGGCTCCCACACCGGTCCATCAATTTGGCACACGAGCTGTACATGCTGGAGCGCATGTGGACGCTACAACTGGTGCTGTGATTGCCCCGGTAAGACAGAGACAGGCGGGAAGGGAAACCTCTTTTACGCCCCTTTATGCTGAAGGCTATGAATGAAACTGACTCCTTCCCTCCAGATCTCTCTTTCTACAACTTTCGCTCAAGTCGGGGTCGGCAAGCCCATCGGACAATACGAATATACAAGAAGCGCAAACCCAAACAGGTCCGCAGAAACCTCCCGTTTCACTCTCAACTTTTAGTTCATTGATTTTGCGTATGTCGGGTGTTGACAATTTCCTACCCGGTGGGCAAACAGAGACCACTTCGAGGAAGCCGTAGCAGCTCTCGAGCACGCTCGATATGCCTTGGGCCTTCGCTTCCGGCTCTGCAACCACAGCCGTCATCCTCCAATCCCTCGCGGCGGGATCACACGTCATATCAGTCTCCGATGTATACGGCGGAACCTACCGCTACTTCACTAAAGTTGCCGCTGCCCACGGCGTGCATGTTACCTTCTCTCCCAGCATCGAAATCGACATTGCAGACCTGATCCGCCCTAATGACACCAAATTAATCTGGATCGAAAGCTCCCTCGAATCCTACCCTCGGCCTCGTCGACATCAGAAAAATAGCCAGCGTTGCCCATCAGCACGGCATTATGGTCGTTGTCGACAATACCTTCCTCAGCCCTTATATCCAGAACCCGCTCGACTACGGTGCCGACATCGTCGTGCACTCTGTCACAAAGTATATCAATGGCCACTCTGTAAGTACAGATGACATGAGAAAAGAAAAAAAACGAGAAATGACACTCAAAAGAATCTCATACTAACTCCTACCTCAAGGACGTCCTCATGGGCGTAGCTGTCTTCAACTCTCCAACTCTCCACGAGCGCCTATCCTTCCTCCAAAACGCTATAGGCGCCGTCCCCTCCGCCTTCGACTGCTGGCTCGCCCACCGAGGCCTCAAAACCCTCCACCTGCGCGCCCGTGAAGCCTCTAAAAATGCAACGGCCATCGCCAACGCCCTCGAATCTTCCCCACACGTCATCGCCGTCAACTACCCAGGCATCAAGTCCCATCCCCAACGCGACCTCGCCCTTAAACAACACCGCGATGGCATGGGCGGCGGCATGCTCAGTTTCCGCATCAAGGGCGGTGTAGCTGCCGCCGAGCGCTTTTGCCAGGAGACCAAGTTGTTTGTGTTGGCGGAGAGCTTGGGGGGTGTGGAGTCGCTCGTTGAGGTTCCGGGCAGCATGACGCATGCGGGTATCCCGAAGGAGCAGCGAGAGGCAGCAGGGGTGTTTGAGGATTTGGTCCGGGTTAGCTGTGGGATTGAGGATAGTGCGGATTTGGTAGCGGATGTCCTGCAGGCGCTGGAGAAGGCGGCTGTGGGGCCTAAAATTAATGGGTTGGCGAATGGCCGGGCATGAGCGGCCCGCCCATCTTATTTTTCTTTGCTTCTGGTCAGTTTCGCTCCTTTTCGTTTGCTTTCCTTGGGCGAATGGGGTTTCCTCCTTTACTGCCTCCATCCCTCCTTTTTTCTCTTTTTATCCGGTGCTTTCCCCCTTTTATTGGGCCGGGTCCTCTGCTATTTGGTAGAGTTACGAAGAAAAGCCGCCTCCTTTTATTAATTTACCAAATTTTTGCCAAGATTTACCATAGAAATCTTTTTTATATTCTTTTGGGGGCGCGCCTCCTTTTGTATGGCGTTGGTCTGACACACGGCACACTCAACCTTTTCCCCAGACCACCTTTTTCTCTTGAAAATTTCCTGGAGTTTTGGATCTGGCGACCTCTATTCATTTGTTTATGTTTCCATAGGCCATCCGCCTACGGGTATACAATTTAAAAGTTTTTCACCACCATCACCTCAAATAACCAGGTGTTGAAGCTGAAATTGAATTAGCCGTCCAACCATCCATGGCCTCCTTTTGTTTGGTTTTTGGCTCCTACTTCCCGATGTTAGCAATGGAAAGTATCTTGTTTTTTCTCTCGTAGGCGAAATAGTAATAGTATTAATCGCTGAAGTTTTAAGAACACACCCTTTGCATCAGCAGAATGAAAAAATATTGTTGGCAAGTAGTAATAGCCTGGTGATATGGTACAGTGTCTAGAAATGAAAGGTGTTCGGATAAATAAAAAGGGGCTAGAAACGAATAATTGAATGGCGAGTTTATCCTTTAGTTTCCTCATTGGGGCGTTTTCTCTCTCTCTCTCTCATTTGCGGCTTTCTTACTGATCAATACTTGCTTCAAGCAGAGGCACGTGGCTTCCGCTGGCGTGGCTATAGACCCAGCTGTGTGTTCGGAAATCCTCCCAACAGCCATGAACCGCAGATCTAACTTTTGCGACTGGACGGAGTATATATATATATATGTTAGCGCACCTAATTTCAATGCGCGGATGTTGTATATATATCATACACTCTGTTGGAACTAGAAAGAGGAAATCCATATTTTTGATCGCCGAGAACTTGAAGCTTCTCACGCGTTGATTGCCCTTGATAATAATTTTGTTATTCTCTTCCTACCGAACGTTGGGCCTCCGTCCCCTTTTTCACAAGCACTTCAAGGACTCGCTCGCCATACTTCTTTTTTCTTTCGTTTGTTTCTATCTGCTCCAATGCATACATACTAGTAGTCTATATAGTGAAAATTCCGGAAGAGGCAATATCAGATCATTCTTCCCGACAAAAAGGAGGTCGAGATCGACGTCGAGACTTCTTCTGTCTCCAATGTCCGCTTTCACATTTGGTTTTGGAGGGGACGATATCGACGATCAGGATGTGGAAGACGAGATGCATGATGCCTGCATGGATGCTGGTATGCGCCAGTTGCACATTGCAAGCAAGGAGAGTCATGATGGAGAAGGGGGAGTCTTGATTGAGGCGAGTCAACGCGATCTTGATGAGATGGTATGTTACATATTTTATTATTTTATTATATTATTTTTGGTTTTGGACGTTCGATTTTCGATTTGGGAGTTGCTTGTCACCTCACCGCGAGGAAGTATTGTTGTGTGAGTTCTGATGCTCCGAATCTCCACTGGCTTGTCCCTTTCTTCCATGGGAATTGGGAGAGCGAGTCTAAGTCGTTTGTGTTCGTGAATACTTTCTAAGTTGTTATTTTGCGTTCCTGGTCATGTACGCAGACTCTACCTTCGGAAAATCCAACTGCGTATGATTTTAGAGCATGTCTGATCACTCTTGTGCTGGAAGAATGTAGTTACGGGATTCATCATGACCACCAGGCCCTCCAATCGATTACTTTTGCTGGATGGGTTATTTACATGTCCTGTGATATTGTTCTAGGGGTATTTCTTTCTTTCTTTCTTTCTTTCTTTCTTTCTTTCTTTCTTTTTTGAAATAGAGGAGGATTATACTACATATTCTCCATCTATTTTGGCTCAGGATGCTAGATAAGCGAGGAGCTGTCAAATTGATAATGGCGACGGAAAATCATGGATGATGCTAATTGAAAACACTCCTGAATAGCTTTCCACACTTCCATCACAAATATCATACAACATGCTCTCAATAAATCCCCAATCGTCAGCTCCAGGGCCTCCAAGCCTCACTATCCCACGGCGCGAAGTGTTTGACATTCGCGCCCAGCTGATGGCGGAAGATGATGCAGATACCAACGAGAATGCGGAGTTGATATCCGGGCTGGAAAAAGGTGACCTAAAGCCAACAGTTTACGAAGGCGGCCTCAAGACGTGGGAGTGTGCTATTGACCTCGCCAAGTTGGTGGCTGCTGAGGAAATACCTTCCCTCCTATCGGATCTGGCGGAGGGAGAGAGAGGAGATGTTCATGTTGTAGAGGTGAGAGGAAAAGAAATCCACAATCTCATCTCTCCATAGATTCGTGATATATATTGGATGTATATCTGACACGAATAAAATGTCTGGGCGGATTCTGCAATAAAAGCTCGGAGCAGGAACTGCCATTCCATCCCTTTCAATTTTACATCATCTCCTTTCACTACCTGCTCCGCAGGACCGGCCTCGCAGGACCATCCATTTCGTGTTTGCGGATTATAACGCTGCAGTTCTTCGACTAGTGACTGTGCCGAATATACTCCTGACATGGCACATGTGCCTCCATCGTCTGAACAACCCCCAAGACTCAGAGCGGAGTATATCTTCTAATACCGAAAACGGAAGCGATGCCGAAAATCGCCCTAATGGTAATTTTCTCGATAGCGCGGACGCTGACGAACAACCCGACCTAGACATCGACCATGCCCTCCTTTCTAATTTCCGTAAGGACTTACATGCCCGCGGAATATCTCTCTCCTTCGTCTCGGGTGCCTGGTCACCTGCCTTCGTCGACCTTGCTTTACCAAACTGCCCGCCAGCTTCACCATCATCACAACGAAGGCGGTCACATCTCCTCATCCTCGCCAGCGAAACAATCTACTCTCCCTCCTCCCTCCGTTCTTTTTCAGAAACCTTACTATCACTCCTGCGGTGCGGTAGGGGTTTGGGCTTTACATCTACATCTGCATCTACATCTTCTCCTCAAGTAGAACCAGCTGCTGAGCCTGTTGTTACTGATAAAAATACCCCGCCGGAATGTAAAGCAAAAGCATTAATTGCTGCCAAGGAGGTATATTTTGGCGTTGGGGGTGGGGTTGACGAGTTTTTGCGTGTGATGAGGGATCACGGGCGTCGGGAGGGCCAGATTGGTGGTGATGGCTTCTCTGTAAAGGTGAGGGCCGAGGTTAGGAATGAGGGGGTTGGGAGAGTGGTGCTCGAGGTTACGATTTGAAGGAAGAACTCTCGCATCGGTATCGATATCGGCTTTGGAAGGGCTGTGTTCCCGGCCGATGACATTTCTTGGATGGATGGCGTAACGAGCCGGGGATTATTTCATTCAGGGATTGATTTTCTTGTAGAATTTTCTTTTCTCATTTCAGGAACTTGGGACATAAGTGCCTAAAATAGACAAGGAAAATAAAAAGGGTACATGTAACTAATTGGAACTTTGCGCAGTATGTCTCAACTGGCTGCAGGAATTATTCTCTCTTCCTGGTTTTATCGTACGACTCGAGAGTATGTGCGTTTCACCATTACGTTCGTACGACAGTTTGGTACGAGAAAAATTTCCCAGATTTATGCTCTGAACGCCATCAATGAGAGTAAGCCTTTCAGGGAGGACATGAATGCTGGTTTGGTTGGCTGGCATGCTCCAGAAAGATGAAATATCAGACATCCGCACGTCTCGGACGTATGGCAATGGTTGCATGATATATACATAAATATACAAAAATGGAAAGTCCAGAATAGCAAATGAAACTGAATAGGATAAAATCTAGGTTGAGGAAATACGGGAGGGAATGGACAAATCAAGAGAACGATTCAAGGACATCAACTCGTCTTCTTTCTCTTGCTTCCTTTTCTTCCTTTCTTTTCTTTCTTGTTGGCAACAAATCTATTACATCAGAAGTATCGATTATCTTCATAGATAGAAAGCACTTTCCCATCCTTCATTCGCGAAACGCGCTCCTCTTCGATTTTCCTATTTTTCGTCTGATAGTGAGAGACAATTGATGTGAGGTCCGCAGAACCGTTACCTGCAGGTACATTCATGGGCGACCCGGTGTTGAAAATCCTATCGATCAAGGGAATTAGCTTTTCGATTTGCATGGCTCTTGTTCAAGACTGAAACGAGGTGGGGAAGCTAGATGTAATGAGAGTGGGAAATGACGCACTCAGGAAAACTCAGCTCCAAGTTTAGGGATGCCCTTTGGCTGTGGAATAGATGTCGATCAGCTGCAGCTCGCTCGATAGCGGCTGTATGGAGGGTATTCCGCCTTTCCCACGTGCTTTCCTTGGGAAAGTAGTTTTCAATTAGGCGGGTCATCCATGGCTTGTTGTTTGGATCTGACGTGGAGTATTTGTACAGGGCTAGGCCCACAGGGACGGATGCGATGAAAACGTAGAAGCCACGCTGCGAAAGGAAGGAAGAAGAAGAAAGGCGTTAGCATGTGGATTCCGGTGCATGCGCATGTAGATGTTTTTCAATTGAAAGAGGACAAAAAAGCAGAAAGGTATGAGATATCGTTCAAAGCAAGCGGGGCACCAATGGCAGTTAGGTGTGATTATTTTAATGGATCATATCTATTTGAGGACGTGGGGTCGTCCTGTCTGGAACACGTTACAACGGGTGGTGGAGGGATGGGAGGTTGCTTACGCCAAAGGTCTCGTTCACGGGCTCGGCATGGTGATGTTCACCATGGGGTGTAGAGGAGGCAAAGCGGCGAGGCTGTTGGTAGCGGAGGAGAGTCCGAGCAGGAGCAGCGGCTCTCCGGGAGGGAATCATTGTTTGGAATGACAATTGGGCTTCGCAACCCGCAATGCGTTGAGAATGAGGCGGTGATGTCAATGTTCTCGAGCTATATCGTTTGGCCTGTGGAGTTGGGTGAAGCGAGATAAAAGTCAGGTGATGAATGGTCATGTGATATTGAGTCTGATGCAGGGCGACGAATGGATCCAACCAACGAACGACAATCCAGTCCATTTTGCTTCCTGTCGAATTAACAGCAACATGGTCCCTTTCGCTTCGCTATTTCAGCATAGCTCCCGCAGTCTCCGTTGGCAGTTTGGCGATTGAAAATTGAGTGAAATTTTGTTTTCCCAGTGATCTACAATCGGCTGATCTGGGTTTAACTACCCACTAGATAACTACGTTCTCATGTCATCACCCAAGCCTGGGGCTTCCCCCCTGATGAACAAGTGATTTAGGCAATAGATACGCCGGAGGGCAGTCGTCGACTAGCGCCTACTTCTCCAGGGAGCGTTCTTACCAGTTGGGCGAATAGGAAAATTATCAGAGAGCCCAGGCCTTTGATTTGAGACCTCGGCCTGGAAGAATAACTCTTTCAGTTCTCTGCTCCAGAGGCAGATTCCTTGGGGTTGGGATTTAAGATGCCAGTGCGGCTGCTGGCGACCTAGTATTTTTTCTTTGTCGACAAGCGCGGCTAGTCTACATCGCTATTTGGCCCGTTTTGTCTTTCCGACCAGCCAGTAGAGATTGCCTCCAGCGTTTAAAGCTAATGGCCTCAGTCCTGGTATTCAATCATATTATTCAGTTTATCATTGGAAGGACAGGGAAATTTGAGCTGTATTATCTAGAAGAATTCCACGTGCTGGTTACTCAATCTATGTGCAACTTGGGTTCTGGTGGCTTCTTCAGGTTGGGTTCAGTACTTGCATGACATTGTCTAATGTGATTGTGGTTTAAACCTTAAAGTCTGACCATGGCAGCACTCGCCCAATTTTTTACTGGCAAAATCAATCCGCTCGTTCCACATTGGTATGTCACTGCGAAATATATATAACAAACTCCCTTACCTCTGAATGAGCTTACTTGATCAAAACAGTGGAGATATTGCCTCATCATGGACCAGCTCTCCTCTCCCAAACTCCCTTCTAAAGGAGTTTCTTCTTGTGATATGATTCGGTCTACCTCGGGAGATATAGAATTGGATGTTTACACATTCCTGCGGCCCTAGCCAGGTGAGTTCTGTTCATTATCCTCAGGATCTGTTGCAAACAACGTCATGAAGTTACTGCAAGGTGCCCGGTTGGAGTCACCTGTATTTTCTGCGTGTTGATCAACAGCGAGTGCACCGGATAAGGGCTCAGGTTGAGCGTGAAGTATAGGCAGGATTCACAATCTATGATTATGCAGTGAGAGCACTGGGTATCCTTCCAATGTCATATAAGTGGACCAGCAAAAAGGAGTACTCCCAAAGCTGCAGGAGAGTGGCAATTCTCTGTTTGGTTTCTGGATCATTATGATGAGAATGTAGCCAGCAAAGTAATAACAAGTGGATACTTGACCTCTGGAAACGGAAGATTCAAAACAATGGTGCTAGATTTGGGTCCTATTCTCTATGCCAAAAAAGGTGACCAGGGATAAGGAACTAGAAGGTATTTATATAGGGCTCGTATCATTTGAATATTGTCAAGCACACTCTCGCGGAGATTGGCTTTGTACACTGAGTACTTAGCGCGTCTCATCGTTTACCCCAGTCCTATTGACAATCTCACCAAGTCTTTTTTTTTGGGTAAAGCTTTAGGAGTGCATAAGTTATAACTACACATTTGCTCGCTTGGTAAACATGACTCTATCAGCTCTTTGTACACAATTCTGTGCTCTTCTCTTCCTTCCGAGGCCCATCTCTGTTGTGATCTCGCCCATTTCTGTGCTTGCTCTGGCTGTCCAGTCTCCCTTGTGTCAGGAACATCAAACTCCCCTAGCTTACCCGTAGCGGCTGATCTGCTGGATAGCCACCGCTTGGAGGCCTCGCCTGGCGGGCGACCACAACTCACAACCTCCTCGCCTTGGGCATTGCGAGGCTCCACCTGCTGGCTGCAGCATCGGACCAGAATGGTGTTGTTTCTTTTCTCGGGCGCTCGCTGGCTTACCAGATGCTGTCTGTCCATTTGCTCCGTCACATCTGGGTCACTTATGCCCGCCCACTTAATGCATCCGCAGGGACCCCTCCAGCCTCCAGTTTGCTTATGTGTTCGTTTCTTGACGCTGCATGCAGGTCCGGGTTGCTACCTGACTAACGGACACAACTGGCGGACTGGCGAAAGAAGACCCCCAATTGATGCCCAATATCCTGATACAAACCATTTCAATTGGCCTCTTGCCGGCTGTTTTCTGAAGAACCACTTGCGCTTCATTTAATTTGGTAACCTTACGGTGGGCAAAATGCACCAACCATCCCTATTCGGTTTGTTACGTTTCCCTCCCAAGAGCGTTGGCTATCCAACCTGCTCGTCGGATAGCTATATCATCTGTTGGGCGCGCGACTTTCAACCGGCTTATTATTTCTGGTCATATTTTCCACATTCCCACTCCCTTTTTGGAGAAATCCTTTTCTTTTCATGCACCCCTATGCCGGGGTTGAATTCAACGTCGCTGTCTTAGATTTTCACCCTGCCTGAGTATATCAACTTTGATTGCCTCCCCTGTACACAACCTTTTCTATTTTTAGTTTAGTTC